TACTCATGTCTGAAATTTAGTAGGCATTTATTTTTATGAAAGTGAAGAAATATCAGGTGACAGAGAGCATGAGTGGGGTCTCTCTACACCAGCAGGTATGTCAGTTAAATCTTAGTTGCCTGCTAAGATTTAACTGGCTTCAGTTAGCATATATTAAGATGGCTTTAGTGTTTCCTGCAATTTATTGTATCAATTTTTGTTACATTTAGTGTCAATGTGTGTGTTACACAAGTTTGCTGCCAAATAAAAGACGGTTATAGCGATTTTGTCTTTTTCTTCATGCATATGTTATTTTTTATAGCTTTACTTTAGTCTCTAGAATTTGCACATCAGCTGATATTGTTGTCTGATTGCATATATTTAAAATAACTCATAGTCTCCAACTTCATCTGGGACTGGGTTGCAGGTTAGCTGTTTCAGCACAGCAGAGACTCTCAGATTGCCCTTTCCCTTGACACCTCCTCCAGCTCCTCTTGGAAAAGCTTGAGGTGCTCCAAGGCTAGCTTAGAGATGTAGTCCCTCCAACGTGTCCTGGGTGGTTCCCTGGGCCTCCTCATGGTGGGATGTTGGCATCTGAAAGAGATGTCTAAACAAACACAGCTGACTCCTCTCTAAATGGAGAAGTTGGTCTATCCGAGGCTCTCCCAAATGTTTGAGCTCCTTACCCTATCTCTAAGGGAATGCCCCACCACCCTGCAGAGAAGCTCATTTCAGCCACTTGTGTCAGAGATATTGTTTTTTTGGTCATGATTCTGATAGCATAACCATAGGTGAGAGTAGGAATATAGATTGACCAGTATATTGAGAGCTTTGACTCTTCACGCTATCTCTTCACCACAAGAGGATCTATCAGCCTCCTGCTCCACCTTCCCTCACTCTTGAACGGGACCACAAGATATTTGAGCTCCTCCACTTAAGGAAGGAACTCTCATCCTATCTGAAGGGGACAGGTCACCTTTTTCTGATCGAGAACCATTGTCTAAGACTTGGAGAAGCTAATTTTCATCCCAGTCACTCCAAACTTAGCCTAGGTTGTCCTGATGCCAAATTCACTGGTGGACATCCTTATGCTTGAACATCATGTTTAGCAGCAGAATCACTGTGTGTTCAGCCAGGTCCCACCAGGAAGAGCCCGACCACCAGGTCCTCGGTAATGAACCTTAACCCCAGGCCTTGCTCCTGGGTGAAAGCCCGCAACCTCCCCATCTATTTTTAAGCTGCTCTCCTTCATGTCATGTCTCAGTTGTTAAAAGCTATGCTGATGTAGACTCTTATTTTCTACTCATAACACTTTTTTCTATTTTTGGGTACTTTCTCTTTCCTTGGCAAAGAGCATGGATGGGCCTCCATTACAACAGAAAACAAGAAGTAAAATGATCTACTGTCATTTTTTTTTTTTTTTATACTCCTCCAACAACAACGGCTGTTAGCTTTGTTCTGATAGGTTAAGGCACTAATTAAATTGACCTTTACACCCACTATGGGTTTGTATGAAATTTTTGCTAGAACTGTAAAACAAAGTTTTGCAAATAGCCCAGATGCAGTCAGCTGTTGGAGCAGCCCTGACCTGTCACAGTGGAGGTGGAAGACCCAAATGCAGACACAAAAAGCTGAAGCAGTTTCTTGAATATTTAATTAACCAAAAAGTTAATTAAATATTTAAGGGGTGGGGGAATGATGACAAACCACCAAAGAGTGACTGAACAGGAGGAGAATATATATTGGAGATAGAAACAAAGACCAGGCTAATTAGCAGATTGGGAGCAGGTGTGAACAGAGGCAAGACAGGAGCTAGGGAAAAGGAGACTGACACAAGAGGTCAAACAAAAAAAATATCTAGGAACTCAAATACAATCAAAAATACCTAGAACAGAAGAATGGCAATAAGAAAAATGAAAACTCAGAGATAAAATTTGAACAGAACCAAAACCAAGACATGACCAATATTTATATGGAAAACAAATCAAATGTGGGACAGCATGTGAAAGTTATTCAAATATTTTTTTGTTATTTTTTTTGTTTTAGGAAGAAAGAACAGATTTGGGCCATTTAGACTCCCATGGGTGGCATGTGGGTAAAGAAAAACTGACTTGGGTTTAATTTACCTGGTCTTTGAATTTGGACTAATTTACACAGAAGAAGCCAAAGTGAGACACAAAGAAACATAACCAAAAAAGAAAAGAATTACAAAGGTCAGAGGTAAATGTATGTCAATTTACAAAGAACAGAGCACTGGAATGAAGAAACTAAATGCACAAACCACCCACCATGCTGCCCTATGGTAATAACATTTGTAACATTAGTAAACAACAGGGAGATGCTGAAAAAAAAACAAAAAAAAAAAAAAAAAAAAAACCCAGCAGTGTCAATTTGCAAGCATAGCTGGTTGCAGCAGCAGTATCACTTTAGCCAGATCCAAAAGAAAACATTGGTCAAAAATTGGATAGAAGAGCTGATGACTGAGCTGCTGCTTTTAAGCTTCTTCTTAAAAGAGCTGAACTTCTAAAAGATGAAAAGAAGATTTAGGACACTGTTGATGGACTTGTAATGTAGAAATATTAACAGCCAAGCAGCAAGCTCAGAAT